TAGAGATTCCTTGTACAACGTTTTATTTTACTTGTCCAAATAAATAACATCCGGATGATATCTCGCCGCTCCGCGACGCGACTTTCACGCCGGTTGTTGTTGAAAGAGGGGAATTCACAGTATCACAATCGCGATGAGATCTCTCGCGATCCCCCGGACTCGTGTGGCGCGCAATTATTTCTAACGATGCAAACGACGAGAGAGAGAGAGAGAGAGAGAGAGAGAGAGAGAGTATTTCTTCTTCACGGGCGTTAATATATTTTATCACGGTTTTCTGCAACTAATACATTTTTGCAGGAACGATTAATAATGCATTTTATTCCGAAGGCGCGGCTCTCCGCGCATCCGTCAGATGCGCGCACTCGCAATTGCAAGGCACTGCTGCGTCCGCAAATTACAAACGCGATTGCACGGAGAAACCGAGTCCGACGTGGAAGTAGAGGTCTCGATCAAGTCGACGAACGAGAGAAAAAGTTACGGAGTCGCCGGAGCGTAAAGTAGCCTCTTCGTCTTTGAGCCTTTAATTGCCGGACCGCCTCTGAACATAAAAATTAAAACTTCTTCGCGGATCTTTAACGCCTCGCTCGCAGCTGCTTAAGAAAAATTTTAAAGGTTTTGAATTTTTTCGAAGAAAGCTATATTTTTTTTTCTTTAACGTCGACGTTTGCAGCGAGATATTTCCTCAATATTTCTCGGTTGGTCACGAGAGGTGTGACTTGAAAAATGAGATATTTTCCTTGAAATGTCTGTTTAAATGCGACATACACTGTAAAAAATTTAATGTCCCAGAAAGTCCACTCTAAATTTTGTGTTAATTAAATGTCGATATAACATTTCTAAATGTAAAAAATAACACGATGAATGAGTTATTTTAACACAAAATTTAGAGTGGACTTTCTGGGATATTAAATTTTTTACTGTGTATATTTTAACAAAGCGAAGTTATTTTTTATTTGTGAAACTTGATCAAGAACATACGATAATATATGACCAACTTATATATAATAGCTCGTGTCAGAAGTCAAATCTAATCTCAAAGATCGAGATGCAGTTTCCTTTAACGCTGTACCGGCAATGAGACGACGAGGTATTTTCCAGTCGGCTAATGCAAAATCGAAAAACGAAAACATTTTCCCCCTCGGAAACGTTTGCGCCTGAAGGATTAACAAACGCTGGAATTACGCAATTGCCGTAATTATCGATTGCGACAACGTATAAAAGGTTCTGCCTTGTTTAGCCCGTTTCCTTGGAGTTATCGACTCTACTTTCTCTCGACTGCGTAAAAAATTATTGTATTCCGCAATATCCGTTAGTTATGACACGTGCAGGCGCGCTGCTTACGTATCTCCGTGTATCTCTGCATAGAGCGTAAACGGTTATTGATGGATAGGTTGCGACCAAGTTTACGGAACATCGTGGCTGCGGATAGTTGAGAACCGTACGCGACCGTATACGCGATTCGCGTGTTTATATGTGTGTACGTATTCATCACGAATCCTATAATTACGATCCGAGATGTCAGATTGCTTGATTAAGTTAGCGTCGTCGATCCGTAAATTTACCGGCTTAAATCGGATTCCTTCATATACGTCAAAATTTCACATTTCACAGGCAAACGCGTTATTTCTATGCCGTATAAGTTTTACACACTTCAGAAAATCTCATTCCTTATTATTAACGAAGAAAATAACGCGATTATCTTGTTAATGAGATGGAAGGATTGCGTCGGCTTTGAAAGAACAATTCAATTTGCAGGAGCTGTAGAAGCGAATTTTAATTAATGAGAGCGCACGATTTCAAGAGCAGGACCGTTCGGAGTGTGAAATCCGATGAGTCAAGCCGAGGTCGAGGCGATATTTTGATATTCGCCCATTGTGTCACGTAGCGCGCAATGTTATAACAAATGTGAACGCACGGCGCGCGCGGCGTTTAGCGATTGCGAGAGAGGAATCACGGTATAGTGTTGTGCAAATAACGTGGGCGATTTACGTGGGTCGATCCCTCGATCCGAAACGGCGGCGTGTGCCGTCTATCTCCTGGCACCGAGCCTCTCGACCGCCGAGGAATGAAGAAATCGAAATTCGAGTTTTTCTCACGGCGCTCGCTTTCTCGTTGCAAAATCGAAAACGTCACGCGCGCGAGATTTGCCCCTGAAAGAAGAAGAAGACAAAGAAAGAACGGCGTTTTAAAAAAACGGTCGATCGATTCCTTAATCGATTACGCGAATTGGAAAGCACGTCTCGAAATTAATTAGCGGCACTTTTAACAATTTGCGGAGTCGGCAACTAACGTAGCGAAAAAAAAAAACAGAGAGAAAGAGGAGATATTTTATAGAATTTTCGAGGACAGCACGACGAGGTGTGCGCGATCTTACTTGTGCGAGATCGACGTACGATTTGGTTTACGATCGCGAAGATAGGAAGACGGCGCGGGCGCGAGAGAGATGATCGCGTGGGAAGCGATCGGGATCGCTGTGAATCCTTATAGGTCGGGGAAACGAGGACGGAGGAGTGCTGCCTGTGGTTGGCTTTGCTCGTGTGAAGTTCTGTGAAAGGGTGCGCGCTAATTGCGAAAACCAGGTAGCCCGGCCGGCGCGCTCGCCGTTGTTGGATATTCGTTAGCGCGCGCGCGCGCGAGGCGTTAGAGATTGGGCCTTAATTGTTCCAGCTCGACTGGATGCTCGAATCCAACCCATCTGGCGCGTTCTCGGCGCACGGTAGAAAATCTCATTGACGCTCAAATAGAAAACCTAATCGAGATAGCGAATAAATCTCCGGCCGCATAGATTCGCCGGCAATCAGGGAGCCGGCGGCGTGACGGGTTTGTGCATTTCTTCGAAGACACGCGTGGAAAATTGAATTCTTACGCGTCCGTGCGGAAAGTTAATCGAGATGACGAATGAAGTCGTAGGGGCTGCGAATTCGGTATATGAATCCGTGGGAATTAGGAAGCGCATAACGGTGACCCCGTTGGATTCTGTTCGAGATGAAGCGTGGAAGGTTTTGCCGATGCTTGAATGTAGAGTTAATTGAATTAGGCACGAGATGATCGCGTAGGAAATTCCGTCGAGCGAGGTCTTAATCGAAAAACGTGAACTCGTATAAATTCAAAGTGAGTCTGTTCTTATGATAATTAAAAAACGTCATTCACCTTCGACACGCGTGAATAATTCAATCGCTGCGCGCGATTGAACAATTAATTGAAACTAATTAGAAATTATATAAAGAAATTATACATGAAGCTACGAAGCCATAAATTAACATTAATCGGGAAAATGTCGTGATGTCGTGCGTGAAAAATATAATCGAATGGGAAACTAAGTGAATCAATCGCGATTTAGTCGCGTGAAGAATTTTAATCGCGTTTAATTGAAAAATTAATTGTTATGGATTGAAAAGTAGGACGTACGAGCTTGACGTAAATTCAGACAGTCGTGGCGACACATTCAATTGAAAAGTTAATTGTTATGGATTGAGAAGTAGGGAGTACGAGCTTGACAGTTGAAATCAGACAGTTGAAAAACCGTCGTGGCGACACGAGAGAAATTTTTAATCGACACTCAAGTGGTTGAAGTGAATTTACGGCGATAGGAAACCGTCGCGTGACGTTCTCTCGTTTTGACGAAACGCGCGTGCTTCCGCAGCTGGGAGCTGCGCATGAATCGCAGGACGGGCCAAGCAAGCGCGACCACGTGAAGAGTACCACCGCGATCCGGTTACGCGCCTCATCGTCATCATGGTGGTGTCACATCGCGAGTCCAGCATCTCGTCGAACATACGGGCGATAATCGAGCAGCTGAACCTGAACCCGGTGGAGAGACGCCGGCTGATCGACAAGACCAGGCATCAGGGCGGCAACGAGCGATGCAAGAGCTTCTCGGACGGGATAGTGGTGGAGTCGCAAGCGCCGAAGATCAGCATCGGCGTTTACGGTTGCAAGGACCGGAGCGCCGAGTACGAGATACCGAGCCCGATCAGCAAGACCGTGATCGCGGCGCGCAAGATCGAGATCGAACGGTCGAGATCGAAGGCGGAGACGCGGCAGAGACTCTCCACGCAGAAGAAGGACGCGCACTCCGCGTGCCAGGTGAAGAAAGAAGCGCCCGCCGCGCCGGTGAAGAGAGAATCGCGGGCGGAACACGCGAACGAGGTAAAACCGACGATATCGATCGCGATCGTGCGATAGGATTCGCTTACTGGGCTACTCGTTGCTTCGAGAGTCGTTAATCGAGAGATAGTTGCCATTTATCGCCGGCCGTAATTTATTCTAAATTTAATATTCACGAGAAAGAGAGAGGCAGTAATTTATTCGCTTACTTATTTCTCTACGATGCAATACCTAAATCTATTAATAGACTGATAGATATGATAAACCTACATCGTACATCTCTATCTACATCTGTATCTGAAATATATTAATCAGAAGTACGTAGTTGAAGTGTCACGTTAGCCACCTTAGATACACAGTCTATTAATATCATATCGCATCACGGGATTTTAATTAAGCAAGTCGATTATAATGTAGACACGTTTTGGATTTTGGTGGCGAAGTATTTCGGTGCTTTAAACGCGCAACGGGGAATCCCATTAATCGAATCTTCGCGCGAACAAAGTATGAACAAATTGATCGATCGCACAAGAACGCGGATAATACAATCCTTAATCCGAGCTGTGTGGAAACTCAAGGGGAAGTTTGAGTGCCAGCCGATAGTGACGATCGGATGCTACACTAAGGATACTTGCTTCATCAAGGATACTTCCTTAACCAAGGATACTTCCTTCACCAAGGATACTTCCTTCACCAAGGATACTTCCTTCACCAAGGATACTTCCTTTACCAAGGATACGTCCCTTAACAAGGATGAGAGCCGAGCGAGACCGACGACGATGCCTGTACCGACGAAGACTCCACCGAAAGGGCAACGGGCGGCGATCAAAGGAGAACACGTTGCTCGAATTGACGTCACGATCGAGGTAATCGGTCGTATGATAAGTAGACGGGGATCTCGAGCGCGATCGCGTTTCAACGCCCCGTCGTAACTATTACGCGACTAATAAACGAATAATCATTGTAATCGGTCTGTGTACGACTCTGTAAGGACAAGGTCGCGGACGTGTCGACGGTGTCGATCAGACCGTCGTACAAGATCGAGGATCGTCTAAGATCGCGGCAGCCAGATACCACGGCGAGCGTCAGGATCCATCGAGCTGCGAGGGAACCGACGACGATCGTGAGGGAACAGCCTCGCGTCGAGGACACGGTCGAGGTAATCGATCGGTAGCGACTACCTCCTTAAATATCGCCCTGAATGTTCCATAAGAAAAATTAATTGAACGTTTTATTTGCCGAGTTGATCGATTTATATTTTTTATGAAGTGAGATTTGTAATGATTCGTCGAAATGTCGCTGAAAGAAAAAGTAAGATTTTTATTAATAATGTTTAAGAGCGACTGGGAGGGATATCTACATTTTATATGATATCTATAATATTTACATAATTTATATTACACTGTTAAACTCGTATTGTAATCAATTTGAATCATTTTAATTTTTTAACCATTTATATAGGTCGCCACTGCTCCTACAATTTGTCGTTAATTTAACTATAATAAAACAATGGATTAATTAAACCAATGGAGTTAAAATAATACTGTTTTGCAATGAAATATAATAAATTTCGACACACGACGTGGTAGTTAAAAATAACAAAATGTTATTTAACTCAAAGTAATGGTTTAAATTTCGTCCTTTAATATTTAACAGTGTAAAATTATTTTAAATATTACAGCTGATTTGCATGCTCCCTGGCAAAGGGCTGTCGTTTGATATTCCGGGATGTTACATTGAGCTTCGTGTCCGGCGTACAAATGACTTTAACGGGTTGAGGATTAACCACGTTCTTTCGCTGCCCATTCGTGCCTTATTATCCGTCTCTCGTGCCATACACCCACGTGACGATCGACGGATTGCGTGAACCGCACGATCGTCGGCGCAATTACGCATCGGTTAAAGAGACGAACGGTCCGAGAGCTCATCCGTGTAACCCTTTCTCCTCTTTTACGCGCGTGTGCGCGCGACAGCTCTCCTTCTCTTTTGGGGAAATGACTTCGGCACCGAAAACAGGCGGCGACGCACCTGCGACCGGTTTCCGAAGCCGATCGCGGTTAAGTGGCCGCGTACTCGGCCGTCGGCGACTCGGCTCGCACGGTGGTCAATACCGTTAGAGACCAACCAGGCGACGTGCTCTGCCTGGCCGGTTCGCCCGTCGAGAATTATCGGCGCCGGTAACGGCGCC